CGGTTAACTATAGCATATAGCCGCCATACAAACTGAACTATCGGAATCAAGTTCTTGTGTGGAAAACTTTCACATTTGACAAGATATATTCACGAAATTTGGCATAGATTATTTTCTGAGCCAACAATGTAATCTCCGAAGAAATTGTTCAGATCGGATTACTATAGCATATAGCTGCCATACAAACTGAATGATTGAAATCAAATGCTTGCATGGGAAAGTTCCTCATTTGACGATATATCTTCACGAAATTAGGTATGAGTTATTTTTTATAGACATAATGTAATACAGCATACAGCTGTCATACAAACCGAACGATAGGAATCAAGGGCCTGCATGGAAATCTTTGGCATTTGACATGGTATCTTACGAAATTTGGTATAAATTATTTTCTAAGGTACGAATGTAATCTCCGAAGAAATTGTTCAGATCGGCTTACTATAGCATATAGCTTCCATACAAGCTGATCACATAGTTACTAATAGAAATGCACCTGTGAAGGGTATATTAGCTTCGGTGCAGCCGAAGTTAACGTTTTTTCTTCTTTTTCACTAATTTTAAGACTTCAGTCTTTAAAAAAGTACTTGCTGAAACTACTGTTAGTTTTTTTTTCATGCACAACTGGTTGATTAGTAGTAGTTTTGCAAACTATCTGTAAATTAATAGGCCTGAATATCCTTATTATCACAAAAAAAGCTCGTCAAATATATTCGAATTAGTATGTTAAATACTTTGAAAAAATAGAGGATTTAAGTATAGAATAAGTCAACTGAGTTGCTAAATCATTGTTTAGAAATAGCTAAAATTTGAGTTCGAAAGTATTTTAATTAGTATGATGACATCAGGTTGTAAAGATTTGTGATATTGAGTTGTGTTATTATAGAGTTTCTTTTCAGAAAAATCTTGCATTTATTCTGCCTTATACTCAGGCTGTTCTTTTCTCAACTTTTTTTAGGTTCGTTTGCTCATTTCTCGAGATGTTGCCCCAACCTGGAAAAAAGTGCGAGCAATTTCAGCCCTTCTCAAAACGTAAAGGTGGGAATTGCTCAGCGGATGCTTACATATCATTTTTGAACTAAATTATTCTATTTTTATTTTCTATAAAAATTGTCTACTAATTATAATGAATCGTCCAGTTTTGTTAAGCTCAATGCTGCAAAATTCGAATGGGTTATTTATCATTTTTTTGTTCTTAAAAAACCTTTAGATTAATTTTCATATAAAAACATCTTGGACTTGAATAAAAAAAGTAGTCTTTCAGTGAGTATACCTATAGGGTATGTTAATAACATGCCAAACATGATTACATTCATTCACGGTTTCGTAATTAGCAACGATTTTTAATATACTACTATATAACGGTAAATGCCCACAATTATTTAACCGCCTTTGACCCTCAGCTACGTTCGAACGTCACTCATCCATTCTTTGTTTTTAAAGAATTCTTCAAAAAACGTCTGTACCTCAGCATGAAACATGACTTTGATCTTCCAAGACTGGTGATCAGCATGTTCAGTGTTGAGCTCTCAAAGGGTATATTTAAACCTCTGTATCCAAATCAACACTGGACACCAGTAGATCGTGACAAAAGTTCATTTGATAGGGAGAGGAAGCAGATGATATATTATAAGCCCACTGATATCTTATCAATAAGCCAATGATAGAACAACAGAAACAGTGTTTAATAAATTTAATAATATATCGAAATGTATGCATCCCTCAATGCTTAAGGATGTAAAATAAACAATTGTTTTTGATAGTCATAAAATTGTTATATTTGCCTATTAACTACTACAAAAACCAAATTTTGCTACATTACGCTATCATCACTTACCGGATATACTAGTTTCATTGACAGCAGTATCAGTCGTAGTATTCGTTTGTATTGATAACAATTTGGAGGAATTTAGTATTTTTGGGCTGGCTTTCAGTGCTTCAATTGTTCCATCGTATTCATTCATAGTTCTGTTGTTATTATTCTTACGCTGACTAGGTTTCATTTCAACTAGCAGTTGACTTCCAGTAAGAGAACTGTTACTGTTAGTTATGATCACCCCGTTTGTAATGTGATGAAACGTAGTACTTGCAGTTGGTGCAGAAGAGGAAACTTTAACCAAATCCGTAGTGGATCGTGTAATTCTTGCATTCATAACATTATTGTTGTTATTTCGAACACCATTTGCTATATCAAAACCCAAAGAGCATTGACTAATATAGGGTTCCCCGACAGATCCATTTGAGGCAGTAGTTGGAGACCTCTTCAGCTTCTCTTGATGCTCAATATACTGAGCAGCATCTAGGAGTACTTTCAATCCTGTCGACATAGCAATTATAATTAGTTTAATTGAATGATGCACGTGACTTTTTGTACTCTACGATGGAAAATAAATTCAATAGATAAAAAATGTTTCGAGGAGCGTCCACTTTTGATGCTGGAAAAGATGGCCAACTCTTGAATTCAATTCTGCAAAGGAGGGGAAAATAGTTGTAAAGTAAAAAATTGAAAAGCAATGAATTCACTAGAAAATTTTTGTCGTTGCATACCAATTTTGAATTTTGTCATTTTAACAAATATTTGTTATATACAATGATTCTAGGGAAGTTCGTGTTAAAGGTAGTACAATACTTTCTGATATAAAAAATAAAAGTACATATACTTTGGCTAAACTCTTATTGAAAAACCATCATATTAAAATTGTGGAATATTACACATTGATTCAATAAAAAAATTTGAACAAAAAAGTTGAACAAAAAGTACGTACAAACGTTTCCTGCTTTAACACTCAATAAAAAAAGTATAATTAGTTTAAACAAATTGAATTAAAGATTCCTAATCTACAAGCTGTAAACACAAAACCTTAAACCGATTCCAAAGAATACTACATGTAATACATAAATCGTATAAATAGTCGATAAATAGAACTCAGGAGTACATTTTAGAAATCAAAGCAAATTTAGTTATTATATCCGTAAATAAAATTATGTAAGCTTTTATGTATTTGATATTTTGATTTATATGTATGGTTATAATATAGACATATATACATATGTATGTATATATTCGTATAATATCGATATTGGCATGTATGTATGTTCATTTTTCTTGGTACGAGAAATTATTCATCTACTAAAACAGTATCCTCTTGCATGCTTTAGCGTCAACTCTCTTTGAAAAGTGCACCACTTTGAATATGAAATTATTAATCAAACAAGGGAGGAAAGTTGGTTAAAATACGTATGTATGTGATGAGAAGTGATTGACCTCACATAATGCATTTAAAAATACATTTGCATGGACATATGTATGTATGTACATATGTACATGCTAATCCATAGCAGATCGTTTCTGATGCAATAGTCCTTTTTTAAGGTGATCAGTTCCTAGAGACTGAGCATATGTACATTTGTATACATTTACTTCTATACAAAAATATGCAAATATATTCCAAATATATATATGTATGTAAGTACATATGTGTATAAATAAATAAATACTTAGATTGATCTAAATATACATATGTATGTATGTATGTATGTTTCTTTTTTAACTTTATTTCCGACTGAACTTGTTTTAACTATAACGCCTCCAAATCCTATTCAATTACTCTTGCCCTCTTCAATTGTAGTATGGGTATTTACTAGTGCAATTTTGTACTGAATTTTTGTACTTGTTTACCGAAAATTTCTTATTGGATGTGAATTTAGGCAATTGCTGACATTTCGCATTGTTGTTGTCATTTTTTCTCTTATGATTAACTCTCTTCATTTACATTGGAAGAATAGAGTGATTAAATCTTTTTGCACCTTTTCTTTTGTTTTTAATTAGTGCATATGGCTGCAGATTGGCAAAAAATCATCCAATCTCTTTAAGGCATTGAATTTAACGATTATTTTAATAGTCTTGCTAGCACTTTGGAACAATTTGTCATCTATTTCAATGTAATGTTTCAAGTTTTATAAAATGCACTGTGGTTAAATTTTACAAAATGTTAAATATTTTCAGCTACCGATCCACGGAACTTAGGAAGAGCAATTAAAAAGAAACAAAATACATACATTTGCACGTAGCCACACACATCTACATTTATTGCCTGTGTTGGCTGAACTTGCTTGTGTTCGTGTTCACGTGTTGTTTTTTCGTTATTGTTGTCGTTAATGTAGCGACTGTTGCTTTTGTTGCGTTTTACAGTGTTTTGTTAAGAACTTTTATATGTGTAGGGACAAACGCATAGATGTATTTGCGTTAATACTGATTGCCTTTGTTTGCCCTCTACTTGCAAAGTCGATAGCCACGAAACAAAAACACCACTATGGCCTAAAAATATACATATATGTATATGTAAATATAATTCTTATATACATTTTGCAGTTAATTTTTTTTAATATCTGCATCTCTATAACATAGATACAAAACCCACGCATACAGCTACGTACACTCACGCCCAATTGCACACTATACATGCATTCATGTGAAAGAAACAAACGGAACAAAAAGAAGAACTTATCGCCATATACATACAAATGTATGCATGTACGTATTATTTTAATAAAAATTCACGAATTCTTGAAACTTTTTCACTTAATGCAAGTACTAAGTATTTCACTCAGACCTTTTTAGTTTTTTTCTACTACGATTAGTGCATTTATTTTTTATAAAGTAACAGAGATGACGTGTGAATAAAAACTTTGACGATGACTCGTTCGCAATTCAATTATCACGAGTATTTACATGTATTTTCTGGTTTCTGTTTTATCAAATACTAAAAAATTTCTCTTTACCGATTCGCAAAATTGTATGTATGCGCGCGACACTGTTATGTCTATCTGACTTTGGCTGACTAACTGCTGGAAGCCTGTTTCTAGTAATACATTTGTTGTTTTTAGTTGCTCTCTCGAACACGATTATGTGGCGAACCCAACTACGATATGGATGTGTTTCTTTGAAATTGTATTGTAATGCGTTTCATAAATATTTGTTTGTGTGAGTTGTTCGAATTATATGCATACGACATTTGTCAACTTTATGCATCAACATATACTAACATATGTACATACAAACAAATAAGTGCAAATACAAACTGGCCGTAATAGAACTAAGTATTTGAGTGTAGGTACTTGAAGAGCGATAATAAATAAAAAAACGATATCAAAATTTATATTACGAGTTAAAAGATACGTTGCACAACTCTCACAAATTATAACCAATTTCTCTGCACAATTATACTTATGTAGACATGTACGAACATCAGCATACATATATTTTTACAACCTTATACAGATGTGTACAGATTAATTGACTGAATAAGAGTACCAGAAAAAAAGTGTACCATTCATTTGTATGAAATACTCATTTCAGCCAGAAGCTTCTGTGTTGCCATATTACACATATGATATTAAAATACGGTAAGAAATATTTGTAAAATATTTTTGCCGATTATACTCTACTTTAATTCATAAAATTTTCTTTTCTTCTAGCTTCCTGCTTAGCAAGATATATGTACATATGTTTATACATATATATATTTGCGGCACAAATTTCAACTTTAGCAAACATAAAGGTACAATGTGTTATGTAAATTTCTTATAAAATTAAAGCGAGATGGCAACTGAAAGAAATTTCATATGAGCAAATTAAGAAAAATGTATTTATATTTGTAAAATTACCTATTCTACCAAGCGCATGCCCTCTCTTAACTGCACAATTCTCTTTAAAATTGCAAATGTAAGCCATTCCAACTCCAAAACCAAGCCACTCAAAGGCGAAGTCTAATTGGACAATAGTATACTCATCGAAAATAATGAAAAAAAAAAATGATTTTTCGCTTAGAAGAATAAAATATAATTATAATGAAAATTAACATTAAAAAAAGCGTATTAAGAACTGATAAATCCCATAAATAAAAAGTATATTAATTTTCATAGGGGTATGTTTGCCAGCAGTCTAAAGCTTTGGGCTGCTTTTAGGTCTTTGTTTATTACTTCTGTTTGCTGAATTGAAAGAAATATTATTATTCACATCCCAAAAATAAGAAAAAATAATATTTAAAAACAAAAGCAATTTATTTGAGACGAGATAAACATGGGTAGAATATTTTCCCTGCCTAGTCTTCATAGATATTACGTATTAACAGATTTAAGACATACATTACCATACTTTACATGCACTAATTGATTGAAAATAATATTTCTTTGTAATGAAAATTGTCAAGGATTTGGCACACTACTTTAGTTCTCAATTATACCATCGTACATTAAATTAAATTTGCATGACAACTATTTAATACACCACTATTTAGTATAAGAATTTAGGAGTGGCAGAGGGGAGGGAGCAGATGATTAACCTGCAAATCCATAATTCGGTACAGATTTTTGTTCGATTTTAAAACATTCGTGAATAATTCGTTAAAGAAATATGAATCAGTATTCTTTTAAGATCGATGTTGCCTTTTTGATAGATAACTTGAACTCCACTTGCTTATACTTTTTTTTAAAAAAGCTTATCCATTTTATAAATGTTTTATAAATATTAATAT